TATAAAACATATGTATATATAAAAAGTTCACATGTTCCTTTCCTCTTAGTTATAAAAACCTTGGTCATTTTTCTCCTTTTATTATATCTAGTTTATATTTTTAAAATAATGACAGACTGCTCACATTAAAAATGAGATTTTTTTTTTAAACACCAAAAAATACTGTCTTATTTTAAAATGAATAATTAGGCAATGTGGTGGCTCTGTATGGTAAGCACTGGACCATGAACAACAGGGTCAGTGGTTTAAGCCCACCACAGCAGAAAGATGAGGCTTTCTACTCCCAAAAAGATTTATAGCCTTAGAAACCCTATACAGGGTAGTTAGGAGTCTGAACCTACATGAAGGCACTTAACAACAATAAGTAATTAAAGTTCTTACATCCCAATAAAAATAGCAATGTTCAATAAGGAACGTTAAAACAATAAAAGCTTTTATCTCTACACTTTCAAATTCCACTGCTTCAAACGTCCCTAATAGTATGCAAGCTGAAAGATGCAAAGTACATAAAAATAAAGCAAAAAAAGAAAGACTTTAGTAGTTAACTGTGAGCCTACGAACATAATGCACATGAAAATTGCCAACAATTTATTCTTCAGACATTAAAGTAGATACAGCTACAAAAGATATTCAACATGTTGTTTCTGATATAAATCACACAGTGTCTAAATTTTTCATGTAAATAAATTATTATACACAGAAAGTTGATGGAAAACTGGAGCTAAGAGACAATGGAATTTTTTCCACCAACTTTTTGAAGCCTTTTCATACAATCAAATATATAAGTAATTTACCTGGATGAATCGCTGAGATGAACTTGTAAGATCAAACATAGATCGGCTTAGTCCAGGGGAACCAGGAAGTTTAACGGTCCTTAAATCACACACTAAAAATTAACACAAGAAAATGACTAATCTTTATAGTAATGAAGAAACACTGGAATTAAACTCAATTACTATTAATATGAAGTCCTGATGTGGTGCTGGGGGATAAGGTACTAAACCATAGGTCAGTTTGAACTGCAAGGTCAGTGGTTCAAACTCGCCCGTCATTCCTCAGAAGCACACCGATCCTATACAGGACTGCTATGAGGTGGAACTGACTCGGCGGCACTTAACAATAACAATTATTAATATATTTGCTATAAATATATACCACATTTGAGACGGAAACCAATACAAATCAAATGCATTGTCACATCCACATTAAATACTAAAAACCCGTGTTGTTGTTAACTGCTGTCGAGTCG